GTCTTTTTAAACTAGTAATTTAATTACCTATAAGCGGAAACTTGTTATTGGCCGTTTATCTATAATTTAATCTATCCTTATGTTATACCTAGCTGTAAGTTTTCCTAAAATTGTAAAATAAATAAAATAAATAAAACAGTCTGATTCACACGTGTCCTCGCAAATCCCCAAAATGATTATATGTAATGTAAAGGAAATTGCATTGCAAAATATTATATCTTACGGTTTGTGGTCTAACACGTAAGCATTGCGCCATGAAAGTATCAGGGCGACTGGATGACACAAAGTCTAGGAAACTTGTTCCATATGGTCACAGATGTTGACTAATGTTATATGAATAATACTGTGTCTCACGATGAACCAGTCTTAGACATTACCTATTAAATTTGAAGACCTTCCTTTGTACAGATAAAATAAGAACTGCGTTTTAAAATCCGAATTCCAAAAATCAAAAACTAATAACAAACTAAAAAGGAAAACTAAAATGCAAAAAATACTGATAGGTAAGAAGTCGGCACCATAAGTTCTATACAAAATTATTCATTAAAATCTTCAGATACCTAATTTACAATTTTTATATCATTATTTTGAATATAACTTCCTTTTTTTAAAGTTGCTAAAAATGTGGTTTAGCTTTTCAACCCGTAGCTTTGCTAGCGTGGTGAGAAAAAAAATGTATAATTATCAAGCTCGCCTCCAGATACAAACATTTTAGCAAGACCGCTTCGTCCTTTACACACCTATGACTCCTCTAGTGTTGCGGGTGTCCATGGGTGGCTCTGGTCACTTACCATCAGGTGATCCGTCATCAGTGAAAAAATAAAACTTAGGTGCGTAGTTTTTGTAGTGTCTAATATCAATTTCGTTCTGTACTTTTATATCTACTTACTAGCTACTTCCGCGCGGTTTCACACCCTCTGCTCAGCTCCTTTTGGTCGTAGCGTGATGTTTTATAGCCTATAGCCATCCTCGATAAATGCGCTATCTAACACAAAAAGAATTATTCAAATCAGACTTGTAGTTACGGAGACTAGCGCGTGCAAACAAACAAACAAAAAACAAACTCTTCAGCTTTATAATATTAGCATAGATCATAAGATATAAGATAAGATTATAGGCAGAAGTGAACATTAAAGAAAGACTTTCAGCACCCATTGAATACATACATCTGTACTTACTACCTACCTACTAAGAGTGATTAATATACTCCAATAAACTTTGTATATGTAAGTTTGAATTCTTGCCAAGAGGAAAGACTAACAAAAACTTGTATTACTAACCAGCTAAATATTAGCTTGCGGCTTCATCCGTATATAATTTAGATTTCCCTCAAATAGGTAGTGATCCTGTAGGATGAATAGCATATACCTCTAATATCACTCCATAAAAAAACAGCCTTCCAATGGAATAATAATTAATTTAGGAGCTTCTTTACTTCAATAATGATACAGATTTACAGTGTATATTTATATAAAGCTCGTTTTACGATTTAAATACCAGGAGAATTCCTAAAATTAAAACTCAATTCCGGGAAAAGAGAATCTAAAAACGGAAAATGCTCTTTGCTAATTCGTTGATTTAATTTACCAACAAGTTTCCTTGTTACTTACGGAAAACGTAATGCGGTTAAGTTTGAGTACCGAGACCTACTGACTTCATCAGAATTCCAGTAACATTTAAATATATGCGTAATTCATCCTATATAAGTTCGTATAGTCTATGCCTACGTTCTAAGAAAAACTCTAACTTCAGGGCATTTCGGGTACGCGCCTTTTTATTTTTATATCTTCGTAGATATTATTGGGACCTTTCATCTATTATTTTGGGTTATTAGAGGTAGATAAAGCTGTCTATTATTAAGTTCGTGTTTTTTTGTGTCCTTATTTATTACATTCGGTGAATCATTGTTTTGTTGATCACGACACTCACGATGAAGCATGAATGCATCAAGACGACCTACAAAATAAGTTTGAAACTTGAATTCATATTCAATATTCGTTTCCTGTAACCATTATAAAAACATTTTCTTGTAATTTCCCCAAAAGAACAGTATAAAACAAATTGAATTGTTGATAAACATTAGGTATATTTTCGTTCTTCTGACCATGTTTTTACGCTCACCTTGGCAAGAAATCCCACATTTTATGTAGGCAGGCAGCGAATTTAAAAATAAATACCGAGAAATGCAAACCTTTGATAGCTAACCTGCCTACGTATTTTTATGAGAACAAAAATGGAAGAGTTTATTTTCATTCCGGCTTGCACCTGACATTTTAAAATTAGAATAATCGTGATGTAAAAAGTAGGTGAGTATTTACACACCTATTTTTTGGATGAGGCAACACCGGGATAAGCTGCCCCTGTTAAAATTTAAACAAATATAATCAGGATAAATACCAGTTTAACCCCGGAAATAGCAAGGAACCACTAATGTGTTCGGTTCACGGAGTCAAGACCCTTCTAAGTCATCCCGTGCTTCATTGATCGGGAATGCATGAACCCTGACTAACTTGAGCGGACAAAGGATCGCTCGAATTACTGTCTGTTGAATCATCAAGTTAACCAGACGTGTGCAAACATGGCGATCAGTCGAGACGATACATGGCATTGTATCCAATGACTGTTTTGTTATAGATGGCGCAATTTATCCTGAATTTACGACGCATTGGATACGATTGAGGAGAATGGTTAGCTTTTTTGCTTTTTTAACTTGAATTTCAGGCAACGAGAATGGGGTCATATGAGGTTGATTTATTTGTTTAGTGTCATGTCGTTTGTCAATAATATGTTGTAATAATATGTATGTCTACGTAAAAGTTGGTTCCAGAATTCGTTTGTCAATGTTTTGTAATACACAAATCGAATAGCATCACATTAAAGCAAATAAAAAGAAACTTAGGTATCTAATCTATGTAATAATCGTTGTATTCAAAACAGTGAGTAAGCTCGAAATAAGAAGTCATTGCGTCTATTGACCTTTACATAAAATATTAAAGAAGATGTACCCATTGTACGATCTGAATAGTACTACTGACCTATCTGTTAAGAAAATCAGTTAAAGGTGCTCTCAAGTTTATGCCAGGTCAGAAAAAATAAACAACGATCACAATGCGCCAGTAGCTTTGCCGTTGCTAAGCGACGGATGATTGGCGCGAATCGGGCGCGATACGTGGCTACACAGAGTATCAATTCTTTACTCTATTTTTTTAAACCTACTGACCAAGGACAAGGCTCGATCATTCTAGGTAGTAACCTACTTTGCATCTATACCTAACGTAGTATATTTGTTGCACAATTTAAAAAAATATTGCGCAATTTTTATGTTTCGGTAAATAGAACAAACCGGTTCTTATATTCAACTAAATTAAAAAATACATTATTAAAAATACCAACTTTAGATTTTAATTTCGATTTTCCGCGTTGTGGGCCGTAAGTTTTATTATTTCAAGGGTTAAATAAATTAAATTAATATTAAATTCTTCATGTAAGTAGCTGCTTTTAGATCTGTATTAATTTCATCACAATCACTAACATTATGAAAACACCTATAAATTCCATTGGCATTGTAGCTATAAACTATACTCTATAAATAAGAGGGTAATTTCATATATAGGTGCACTATTCTGAAAACATCGTCGGTGCAACTCTACGCGATTCTCGATATCACAACACATTCTGATTAGTAGAAGAAAATTAAAAAGGTAAGATTATTCGTAGATTAAAATAAAAATATTTGAACAACTATTTTATGGCTACCTACATCTAATGTCTATTCAAAAATGACCTTGAGATTTTGTTACGTCTAAAATTGCGACGCACTAATGTATCAAATTGTGATAAAGAATACTTATTGCTTGAATGGGCCAACCTTACGATATAGTTGAATAATCGCGGACTTAATGCCGAAACTAATAAGTTATTCAAAATATAAATCCGTAAATCGGAAATATTAATAATTAAAACGCAATATAGCTGTCCACCATTTACCTATTTATCATTTTCAAATCAACAGGTAATAAATATTGCCAACGTTTCAAAAATTAAACATAGATAATGAAGAATTAATAAAATAAAACTGATTTTAAAAAGTTTTAATCAAATTAAAAAAAAGAAAAATTCCATATTTCCATAAACAAACATGTGCGACGTGACGTGCGTGCGACCACACGGCCAACAGTTGCCTTCATTTATTTTATTTTTTCTTCCGCCATTCTGTATAATTCCGTACTTACGCGCAGTAAAATAATAACCAAGATGGAGGTACCAACATCTAATTAAATATTAATTTATTAGGTGAGTAAGTTAAACAACTCGGATTAAGTTAAAGGGCTAACTTTGGTTGCACTTCATCGCCGTGATCAATAGACCGTACCGAATTAGATATCAAATTCAATGTCGATCAATACAAAACTAATATAAAGTCATGACACTTCATTATCTACCCACATGTTCTCACGAGCTTATTATGTCTGTCTGTATACTTTAATATCTATGGTGATATCAATCAGTACAGTAAATGATGAAATACTTCGCACAGTTTACTAGGCACATTTTCTGCAACAAACCCACATAATTACGACTAAACATGATTTTGATCACGTAACCTACCAATAAACTGAACTCATAAGAATCTAAAATTATCTTCTTCGTTAGTTAGCTGTTAAGAACTGTGTACCTACATAATACAAACTCATTAACTTGCAAATTAACAAATTAATGTTTTGTAAAACAGTAGGTGAATATCTACCGCCTTAAATTGCTAAACTAAAATTACCTAGGTTGTTGCAACATTTAGTTAGCACTTACAATTTGTTTATCAATACAAATTATTATGTTTGTATTCATCATAAATGTCGAACCAAAATGTATATTTTATTAATTAAATTAAAACTGAAGGTAAATGTGTAATAATATTACCTGGGTCTTGTGAAAAATATTGAAACAAACGTTTGCGATTGCATTGCCAAACGTAAATGAATGGTCAATGTCTGTCTTTTTCTTTAAAGTACCTGTACAGTATTACGGAAAGAGACGGATATAGTGCTATAGCCCCGTCTCATAACGCGTGGTGTATTGTAGCGTACTACGCAAGCTGACGGTGTGTCGACATTGGACGTTGGATCGGTTGCCGGTCCGAGGCTTCGCAGCGAGCGTCGTCGACAGTCTCGCAATGGCGTTAGTGAGAATAGGACGTGTGTTCGTTTAGTTTCACAACAACCCGAGCGGACACCGGCCCAAAATATTGGCCGTCTATCAGTGCATGAATTACTTGAAGATACTTCCTGTAATTCCTCACATAATAAAGCGACTTGTTCGTGACCACGGACAGTCAAATTTTGGTACGATATCCACTCAGGGCGAATCATTTCAAGGTTCGTACTTTATTCGTAATTTCCCCTTACTAAATAACGTTACTAAATCGTGTCGATTGTCTCGTTTTGTTTCAAATTTTGTAACATCGTCGGTGCAGTGGATTTGCAAGTGACACAAACGGGAAATTACTAATAAGTGGTTTTCGTTTTGTTGCAGATCATGTTCATCTCATCATAGTTCCTTCATCGTTATAAGTGTTTGTGTGTGTTTGTGAACATAAGTGAAACGTGACAGTGATAAGTGTTAGTGATGGAACCCGGATCACCATCATTGTTGTGGCCGCTGCGCCTGAGCAAGCCTGCAGTAACCGTGCCGGTGCCTGCCGGCGAGGACAGCAAAGCGGAGGAGAGGGCTCAGTCGCCAGTGCTGACGGACCGGCTGACGGCGGCTCCTTCACCGTCCAGCCCTCCGGCGCCCTCCAGCCCGGCGCCACCTCAACACCAGTTCCAAGCGGCGCTGGTCGCTGAAAAGTATCTCCTATTGGAACAAGTTGAGGGCTCCTCGCTTTGTCGGTGTGTGGACGTGCGAACGCAAGAGGAATATGTGTGCAAAGTGAGTACCTACTAAAGTACTTATCTAATCTGAGTCTGACTAGAGCGATATCTTGGATAGACTTCATTATAAGTTCTAAGTCTTACGTTAGATACTGACGTCAGTGCAATGACTCCCGGAACCGCGACGAGTTGCTTCGTATCTACCTATAAATGCACCTAGATTATAGCACTATAACTAGTAGAGAAGATCGAGTTAGTTTGCCACAGTAAACTTGCGCTATAAATGCCTGTAGAACATACCTATAGCTATCCACTTGGAACTCCAGTCCAACAACTTTATTGAACGAACTTGCAAAAGTTTATGCAAATGTAGGTACGGGTTCTGTTGATAGGTACGTATTCAATTAAAATCTACTTTATTAGCATTTACGTAAAATCGCTTTTGGCTTAGGATAACTATAAAGTAGTATATTTTAAATTTCAATGCTTATGTACCTACTTGATTATTTACATAAACAAAATACTTCGTAGTTTTCAAAATGATTATTTCTCAAATTACCTAAGGCAATCTGTATTTCTCGAGACTCGGCTAGGATGCGTAACGTGTGCCGTGTCGAAATTGTGCCGGGTTTCAACAGGCGTTGCGTGGCTTTGTTTGATTGATATAGTACGTAATCTCTTGTTTTAGTTCGACCTCTTAGTACATTAATCTAATTAGCTGAATGAATTGTTATTTTACCCACTAAACTGTTCCCTTTGTTAAAACAATCACGGTAGTTATACCAAACAGGTGTGAAACTCCACTTTCGAATAGTAACTTTTATACAAAAAACGTCTAATTGCTCCTCACAAAGTCAATATCTTGCAAAATATTTAGTAAAGGGTTCTCACTATCCCACGGGATTGGACCCCATGTAGAGATAAGCAGAGAACATAATAATGTGCCCACATGTCGTGTCCCTTCAATCCAATTATTAAGTTTGTCAATAATAACCATTAACCAGTGACTTTTGACAGCCAGTTCTATTTGGCAATTTATTTTGTGATAGGTCTTGAAACATTTGCTTATATTATTAAAATCAGTAGTTAGTATCTTATTATAGGTATGTACAATCCAAGAAAATATCTTAGGAATCTCGAAAACATGCCTATTTGTATAAATACCTAGTTAATAGAAATATTAATAGTTTCTTGTTTGAACGAATGTTTGGTAAACTCGACTCGTAAGTAAAAAAATCGTTAATTAATGTTCAATAGCAGTTTTTTCATGAGTCTCGCGTGCATTGTTCATAGCATCTTGTTTAAAACCGATGTCATACTTTATATGTCATGGCCCCGCGCGCTGCTCGATCGCACTTGTAGGCCACAGCCATCGCCGTTTTTACAATGTCATGTGTCGACTTTCGCAATCGATAACCTAACAATAACGGCAATTATAACGCTAACAACGCTAATTGTTGCACTACACCTAGCCAACTTATCGTGCTCCACGTAAACTATAATTAGGCGGGGCAAACATTCCAAACTTACTCATTTTTACGTTTTGAGAAAATTATCCTTGTTGGCTTATATGAATCACTACGATGGGTCTAGAAACTTGTTTGAAAACAAGTTATTTCTAACGAATTTTACTCACAGGCTTTTGACGACTAATTTTAGGCAATACAGGACACGTTGGTGTCCTAACAAAGGCCTATACTAGTATTGTCAAGGCACAGAATAGGCACTTCCCTCGTGAGAACTTGGCAAGGTTAAAGTGTGGCAACGTTATCGTTGCTAAACGCCGAGCGTATTTACAACACCGACTATTGCCGACACGACTGCCACGTTTATGTTTCACATTCATCATGTGTGATACACTCTTCTTGTATTTGTTTTATGAAAAATATATTACCGTCCTTAGTAAACGTTTTAGCCTATACAAACTTGTAGCGTCACTTGTGATCGCATCAGGTCGGGACTAAAATAAGCTTGACCTTCTCATTGACATTGTGAAATAGACGATTTGATAACGCGCCGATCGCCGAATGTCATAGCGAGGCTAGGGGCCCCCCTCCTTTGCCCCCCCTCCTACTAAACAGTACAAACGGCGGCGCTAACAGCAAAGCGCTTATTCATTGCTGACTTAATAGGTGTATTAACACGAGTACAACAAACATAGCCTGATATACGTAGTAAAGTCGAGGATGTAGTATTATGATCGGATCGTCTCATGGTTGTCTCAGTTGTCTGCAATCAATCTGCAAACAATTGAGACAGCCACCATATATGTACGGTTATCTGCTATTGTAATTTATCCTAGAACGGATGAAGGCTTGTGAATTTGTTATGCTCCTTAAACATAAACAACCTAGATTGTTACAATAGAACAGGAAACTCATCTATGTATCCTATCTTATGTAGGTAATGTACTTTGCCATGCATTGTAATTGGATTGACTTAGTCTAGGTTATCGTAATAGGAGAGCCAAAAGCCGGATTGTGAGTACATGACTGTCGAGTGCGCTTTACAAATATTTTGCAATAGATATACATACCTTGTGATTATACAAATATAGATAACAGTTAAGTAGGTTAGCTCCCGTAAAATACGTTCGATGTCAAATAATATCAAGTGTTCTGTCAACATTGCGAATTCTTATCAAAACCTCATGTTTTCGCAAACACGTCCACAAATGGGTCATGTTTTATTTTCGTACAACGCCCAACATTAATAGAAATCAAAAAAGCGCGACGCCATGTCTAGGGTGACTGCGCTGAAATAACCACAACTATTTATACTGTACGAGCCGAAAAAGAAATGGTTTGACGCACGCGACGTGATTCATCATTCGTGAGTCGGGAAATCAGATTTGGAATTTGCGTTCACAATGTCGTTGACATTTCGTGGCCGATCGCAGTGAGCACCGTGCACAGCACACACGGATCAGAACAAACGTTCATTTATAAATAACTGTACCATTCCATGTAGCTGACCCGATAGCGGTTCTAGAAAGCTTAACGTTGCCGACAACCGACAACTCTTGCCTATTCACTATTGAAAAATGTATTGCAACAATTATCTTGCCCGTTTCGTTTGATTTCTACTTTGTCGTCACCCAACAATTCTGTTTGAAGTCGACCGGGCTAGATTTGCAAAGGAGGGTTAGCTTGCCTCTATTCACTAAATGTTTCAACCTCGTTATTCACATTAGACTAAGCCCTTTTAAATCACGGCCGCTTTGAAATAGGACCCCTTTGTGTGTGCAAAAACATGGACGGCAGTTTAACGCATATTTTTTAAATTCTGGTAACGTCCTTTAAATAAGACAAATTGCGTGAAATTCAGGTAGAATTAAAACTTGGAGAAACGACAATTATGTTGAAAGTGGCACGCGACTAAAAACTAGGTCAGTGATAAAAGGAAAACTATTACAAGCCTAATAACGCTACGTAATTAATTGCAGAATGCAAAGAATCGACCGGAATCACAGGAAATAGAGTTACTTTCCCGGAAAACACCTTCAATTCAATATTGTTGACTGCTGCGGCCGTACTGCGAATGTTCAAACTAGTGCAAAGAGTAAAATGATTATTTTTCACAAAATTAGTTTTGTGGAATAAGTGTGTTAATGTTGACGTTTTCCTATAGGTGGTGTCACGAGATTGCAGCAGCTTACTACAAGCCCACTATAGGCTTGATGGTCATCCGCACGTCAACCCCATACACGAAGTCCTAGTCGGTGATAAGAGAGTATATCTTATCTTCCCTCGGTCGCACTCCGACCTCCACTCATACGTGAGGGCGCGAAAACGGCTAAGGGAACACGAAGCTCGCAGGCTGTTCAGACAAATGGCAGAAACAGTTGCCGCGTGTCATGAACAAGGCATCGTTTTGCGGGATCTTAAACTGAGAAAATTTGTCTTCGCTGATCCTCAAAGGTGAGTCTTTTTTAATTGAAACTTATTAATTAATTTATTTTGGTTTAATATGATTATGTAGCTGCAAACCGCCTTGAACATGTATAAATAAGAGTGTCGGTTTTTATCTATGCCAAAATGTCTAAAGTAACAGATCCTTAACTGATATCGGCGACCCGCTTAAATTGATCGATCGTTTACTTTCTCGGTATTTTTTACTGTTAACGCCCACTAGAGATCGATCGTGAGAAAACAGATGACTTAATAAAAAGGTCGGAAGGGAAACGGAAATACTCTTTGTATTTTAAGTAGCGACTCGCTTCCTCTGTGAGTCAATCGCCTTATGCTACTGCTATAAACTGTTATCAAGTCATTCATTATGACGATTGACATGCGCTATGAGTCGTCCTAGAAAGTGACTAGTCGTTCTCGATAAACTGAAGTAGATAACTATTGCAGGCACGTTGCGCTGTTGGCGCCACATAAGCTTCTGCATCTACGTCAAGATATAGTCCCTTCGTGCTTAAAATTTACGCGTATGACTAACAATAGTTACAATTTAAAGGTTTACTCGCAGCTACTATTGAAAAAATATTGAAATAAAAGGACAATCAAACAATAGGATTACTCAACGCTTATTAATTACACCGGTCTCGCGTTGGCCGGTAGGAACCAGCGGATTTTCAAACTTTTGAAATGTTATCTGGCCTCCATTGTTGCGAATATCTCCGGCAATGCTAGCGGCTCAAGGCGAACGGTGTCATTGCTGCGTACAATACTGCGCGCGCGCCGCAATCGGGTCAAGGGTCCGCGGCAATGCGCTTGCGCACCGCCCGCGCCGCACCGCGTGGCGTCTGCGTACGTTTTACACATTGCCCCTTTGCACCCGTATAATGATGTAAATCCTCATACGGGTACCTGCCCTTATCCGATCAGGTGATCCTGAGAAACTCCCTAGTAAAAGAAATCTTTATGCACCCCTTAACGCGTAATTTTAACGACCACATTCTTCAAAGATTTCAAATTAATTCTATTCACCTGCCCGTATACCAACCCTTCGTTTTTGCTTGTTTAATACGTTTCGTTTATTAGATTCTTTATTTTCATCTGATATCATCAAAAAAACTATATCTATTATATCTTCTATGATACTGTTTTTATTGTACGATCGTAAGCTACTATAAGTCAGAATCTCGCCTATTGTAGTTATAATTCTCTCGATCCCCTCCTCCCACGGTGGGGGCAACAGCCAACCTTTTGTGTATTGGATTATCTTTGTCGTCCTCTCTGAGACAATATTAAGTACACCCACCCGAACTTGAAACTTTGCTGTGATGGTTTCTTTGACCTTTTGGACTCGCCCCTAGTGACATTCACGTTGCGAATCCGAATATGCCTTTGACACGACCGCATAGCCGCAGACATGTTCGAAACCCAATATACGGTACAAGCGCGAATAAAACGAATTCCATCTGTGTATTTGCGCAACAGTATTAATTCAGTCCGCTTTCGAGTGGACAGACAGACAGTGGAAAAGGTAAAATTTAATACTCTTTTCAGCGTCGCGTCATCAAAGCGAGTGTTGTCAAAAGCGTCGGTTCGCGATGCGGAACGGGAAGCACCGCGACCGTAGCACTGATGTAAAAACTTTTGCTTTACCCTTTACGTAATAGCGGCATACGCCGCGACTTGGGAAGCCTTTTCCAAACTTGCCTCTCAAAGCCGGAATGTTTTACTTTTAGTTATTACACAGAACCTCCAAACAGAACAGACAAACTTTTTACCGTACCAGTGGCAACTCGCCTGTCTAATTTTGCAATAATTTTAATTCAAAACGCAAATGTAGGGAGCGCTAAATGAATAGTCCTTACAATTGCAATAGCGCTGATAATGTCCGCTGGACATGGCGTGTACAAAAGACTCTAGTTATTGGGCAAACGGGACGCGCTCGCTCGCTAGCGTCTGTTTTGTCTGACCGTTAATATAAATTAAGCAGGATATTGCAGATGTGTTTCCAGTTTTGCCATGTTGCCGGTGTCGGAGCGGAAATATCGCTTTTTGTTCTACTTAATGATAACGGACCTTTGCGTGTAGGTCAAGCAGGTAGACAGCTGTTTTAGAATCTGTGATCCCAAAGCTTTCGTTCAGCTAATGACCATGTGTGCCACATTTTCCCAGAGGCCATCATTTATTCGTTTATACAGAGTTAACGTGTCAGATTATTCAGATGGTCAAACAAACCCCCATTAACATAACGCGCAGCTGACCTTGCCGATCCCTAATAAATTCTAATGATTGCACATGTCGCGTCGGTCACTATTCCCCAGCTGTTGTTCGCAATCGTGAGAATGGTGTATCGGTGAAGGTGCAACTTGAGCAAGTGTCACGCCCTTCGACCTCCGTTCTCACGTCTCGGTGCGATATAAAGGCACCCCTGATTATAAATTCGAGTCATCCGGCGGGACGCCACGATCAACATCCCGCGATTCTGCCGTCTCAAAGGTAAACAAGAACATTAATATTGATTCCGCACTCTCTTTGACGCTTTGAAGTGGATTTTCTTAACACTCGCCCGTAGTTTTTCTTGTCCTTTGAGATGAAAACAGATTCCTCTCTGGTCTTTGAGATTAAAATTAAGAAACGAAGACACTTTATAAAGAGAAAAATCATAGCATGATCCATAATAATAAAACTTGTATGAGTATTTATGGTGAAAGTATTAATAAATACAATACTAGTATGATATAATGGGATGCAACTATTTCTACCGGAATGATACTTTCTCTGTTATCGAATGTTTCAATAGATAACAAAAACGATAATTCTGTGTGTAACTAGAAACTATCAAGAGAAATCTCGGGCAGTGTATCCGGGCGCAGGCCTTGGGGGAGGAAAACGAGGTCGTGGCGATAACGCAGGTAGCGAGATCCTCGCGCCCTACGACAACACGCTCAGGGGCCTCGTCTTATACGTCAAATTATTATGACGACACATAATTAACCGTGCTGTACTTCCTGGAAGGATGTACCTTCCTATTATACAAATCATAATAACAAATCTTTGTATAAAAATAAATCAACGTGCTGGTGACATCACAGACCTGACGACAGAAAGCCGGATGTTTGAGTGTAAACTACCTTTATACGAATAATGCATTCTTAATTTTTGGCATCACCGACAGGATGTAAAAAAGCGGAAACAGTTTCGCGTGACAGAAATAGCCTTTGTCCGCCTTTACAAATCTAATTTGCTTCGCCAGTTTGTTGTACAGCATTAGCTAAATCTAATAACACACCAGACAGTTCGGAGCCCATTTTGTTCCAACAACGTGATTTAGTCCTTTGTAAATAAGCGCAGGTACAAAAATTGTCCCAAGCGTATTGTTCGGATGCATCCCGCCCACTCCCCGCCAAAATAATAACTTCGTCGAATGATCCAGGTAACAAAATACGTCCCGAGTTTTTGCGTAACACGGTGTTCAGAAGCCGGATCGGATGATCGAATGTATTGCAAACAATGACGACGATCCAGCGGCATTCAATTACGCAACTCTTATGTTTACTGTCTATGCTGTAGCTAATCTGTAGCCGTAGTTTTGAACTTTTCTCGATTTATTTTTCCAACCCGTAAAAATGTGGGGAATATTAAAGTCGACTCTTATTTCGACACGAATAGTATATCTGCTTGATGTATTCGCACGTCTGTCGTGTTTAACGGGACGGGATATTTACGGTGTGGCCTGAGCGCCGCTTGCCAGCGGATGTGCCAAATTGGTCCGCGATAGACGGCCGCCTCGCCACCCGGCAGACGCCACTGCGTCGCATGCCTGCCCGGCCACTGCCTCACAATATTTCCTTCCAAATCTGAAGTTAATTTGCGACCGATTATTGTATATATTCTTACTGGGCCAACACGCAACCGCTCTATAATTTAAAAAAAAGATGTGCAACATGATAACCTAAATAACGCCCCGAGGTAGTTGCCGATAACTCAGCAGCGGTCGATCAGCGCAGCTCGTGTAGGTACCTGCCTGCGCACCTACGCTGACTATTTTGAAAACGTTTTGAAACAGAGTTGCTAAAGCTTCGTGGTGCAAGAGACCTCCACATTACAGCGATGTATTTGCATAATACTGGGCGCCCAGTTAATATAACTATACGTCAGTTTTACTAGTTGTATAACTTCTGGTGCAGTCGTACTTTGCCATTATCATTTAGTTTGCGTAACGGACCTTTTATTTCGCTTAGTGTCTGACTGTGCACTGCGTAGTTGGCATCCGCTGCTGGTATTTTTCGCGCGGGTGTGGCCGCTGGCCACTCGTGTTAGATAAACGAGCGCGCATCGAGTGCTAATTTGTACGGCGTGATTCAGGCGTGCCGGAATTCAAGCGCACTGTTGGTTCTTGTTTTGGGGCATTTATTCGCGGCCTCGATCGCGACTAGCGCGGCGTGGCATGGTGAGGTCGCGCAACTGTGCCAATGTCGCGTGGTCGACGCCGCCGCAGCCGACGTCGAACCGCGCCGGCTCCTCAATCGTGCGGAACCGATGCTTCTGCTGCGTTTCAAAAACTCTGATGCCATATCGGGTCTTATGAAAGTGACTCATCGTTCACCTTCAATGAGCAAGACATGCTTGATTATCTTCTATACTCCCCTGTCGGCAATCTCTACCATGAAATAACCCGGAATACTTTCGAGTTCAAGACGCCTACACTTTTCCCTCATTCTGAAAATAAATGAATCGGCGAGGACGACGCAAGCATTCGTCATGGTTATAAATAACGCGTGTTCGCACCTTTTTTGGTGGTACGAAAACACCGGATGCGACTACCGGACGCGGGCGATAGTGCAACGCTCCCAAGCGAAAGTCGCCTTTACTTGTTCGTAGAATAGGACATAATATATAAGCAACGTTCTCAATAATGAATTACCGGACATAGGTGTCATCCATACAAAAGTAAATCCGATTGTCAGTTGAATTCAAAGCGACGATGGATCGGTGTTGACGTACACCTTGCTAAA